CTGCTAAATTAGGGACGGCTAGACGCAGATAGCCCTCGTGTAGCTTTGGCGACGAATTCAAAAACAAACAAACACGTTTCTAATATCTATAAATACTAAAAGTAGGTCAAGACGTAAAATTAAACGGGATTGAAAGAAGAAGAGGATATGTGGAGTTCAGCTGATTTAAAGAATTCTTGATATTAACATCTATAATACTTTTTTCTAATATTTTATTGCGTCTAATGGCTTTGAATGTTAGAATTAATAGACTCAACCGGAACTGCAAACTCTTAACTCATAGTTCACTTTTTTGGTAAACGTACATGAATATATTGTTCACTGCTCTTTTATTTCAAGGGTATAACCACTAAGTCTATAAGAATGTAATTTGGAAGAAATTGAAGTTCAGTTGGTTATTCTTTTGAACCAGTTAACTTTGTATATTATGACTCTCTAAAGGCAACTAGATGCCTTGTTATACGGATAATGGTGCAGATTTATGGGTTAACCAGTTTCCATTGTCCCTATCAATCATAGCAGAGGCCTAAAGAAATGAACAGAGATCATTGGATAGTCTTTCAGTTTATATCTGTGGGAGACAGATCATAATAACGTTCAGGAATAAATTACAAATGTCTTGATTTATTGAAATGATGAAAACTGTTTTTAAAGTTCCCACATTTACAATTCAACATTTTCAACATTCTTAAAAGCACGTGAGGTATGTCATAAATACACTTTATCTAAAAACTAAAGCCTCGTGAATTAAAGATTCTGTATTAGATTTCAACCACACATGAAAATTTTAATAGATAGGAGTTGTAATAGTGTATTGGAATTAATCAACCAAGAAGATTGAATCAACTTGCATAACACCGAGAAAGCGACATGGCTCAACTCTTCCTCACAGTTTCATATTTGTCTTCCTTTAAATTTGTCTCCAGACAAGTGAAGGATTTCATCATGTCTCGAAAATATAAAAAATTCGTGATAATTCCCATAATGAAACCTGACAAAGATAATGGAATAATACTTTTGAATAATAATAAATATGTTATAAAAATAAACAATACATTAAGTATTACGAGCATTATATCTAAAAGTGTTTATAAACAAATCTGATCACTGGGTTTCTATGCATGAATTATATATGCTATATCTAAGGTACACCGAATTTTCTCATAAGATAAATAACTTAGAATATCAGTTTGCCCAATCATAATTTATAAAGCGTTTTGATAATTTTTCTAAACGAATATACTAGTAAGAAGTTTATAGTTAAAGAAACTACTAAGTTTTTTTTAATCCAGCTCAGAAACCGACTTTTGTTTGTGGTGTCTACCTACATAGCCAGTTTTGATATATGGAATTATTATATTCTAACACTCAAGTGTCGTTTCTGAAGCTCAAGTGAAATACTTAAAGATATTCTTTCGAAGATAACACTTTTTGTCGTAGAAAAACAAAAGTCAGGTCTTGTGTCTTTAATGGGGATATTTATTATCGGGAGGTGGCGCGACGTGTTTTGCCGCTCTGTGCGAACTCTGGTTGTGTCGCCTACCCACCAAATAATTTTCCGTGAATCGTCTGTAGTCATCAGCAGTGTCGTGTTCTAGCTGTATGCTTTGTCGTAGAATTCCGATTCTGCTTGAAGGAGTATTTTTCGCTCCGCCAGGGAGAGTTGGTGACCAGAACCAATTTTCTGACATTCATTTTTCCCTCCCCCGAAAACATGCCGCCCTGTGCAAATGCATTCCCGGTAGCGCCGGCCCTGTTTATGATCAAGTTGATGGAGTCAATATGATTAACATCTGTTTCGGTCAATTTAGTTTTAAGTTATCGTGAAAATAGTAGTTAAAATAAGACTCAGTTGAATTCAAATCATGTTATTATAGGTTTTACATTATGGTCTTTAGTTAGTTAGTTTGTATTTCAGTAGAAAAGTTTGTTAGTATTTTTGGGATTATTTGAATAGGAAACATCCTAACATAAAATTCACTTTTAAGCATGAACGTGGCATAGTTTTGTGGTTAAATACTCATTGTGTTCCAGACGTTTAAAACATTAATTTAGTTAACGTTTTGCTTAACAGAATCTTATTACGTGGTAAAAAATTTGATAAATGTGTGCATTTTTTTAAAACTATACAAGTACAACTGACTGTCTTTGAAACAGCGTATAGCATTATTCTATATTTAGGAGAACGAGTAATTTATGCGAATACAAACTAATAAAAAATTCGTTACTTAAAAAGAAAACCTAAAAATTCAGCATTTTTCTTTTGACGAATACTACCGATTACAAAACAGTTAAAGCTCTACGGTGCTTATGAGATGTTTAAAGTGTGGACGATGAGAAAATATACGATCCGAAACAAGAGAAGGGCGCCAAAACTGTATTCTATATACTTGCACAACACACAAAGATAACAGATAGCAGTTCGTGTGATACATTTTTCTCAAAGCTCAAACTATATTAGTCATATAAGAAATAGATAATGTTTATTCATTTATGAAGTAATAAATTATTGTGGAAATATATAATATTTAGAGTCGTGGAGTATTGTTAAAATAAAATTTTGTATGAACGTCTGCAATAACATGCCAACATGAAAGCATCTGAACATCCAGATACAGTCCTAAAGTTTTTATTTCATAGTACTGGCATCATACAATTTCAGATAAATTAGCAATAAACGTAAAACATTTTAAATAAGTAGTTATTTTTTTTACTATTGGAATCTCAAATATAGGTATATATATATATAAAACTGACTGACATGATTGAAGTACATGAAAATCGCGCCCAATGCAACAACAAAAAAAAAACGTAATCTCACAGAAAAAAATACAAGATATCCAGAAGAGGGTTTTCGTACACAAAAATTTAATCCTTAACGCTAGTTCGTTCTTACAATCCAATAGCAGAAACTATGTTATTGTATCAAATACACGTGCTCGATACAAAGATACTTTTCAAGGAATGTTTTTAGTTACTAGAAATTCATTTAAGTGTATGTCCCATGTTTTTCAAAGTCTATCTATAGAAAATCATATATAATTCTAAATAATATTAAAATACATCTGAGTAGCTCCAACCATTTTATGTGATCTGTTCTTTTACAATTTATTTCATCTATTTACTGCTATTACGATAAGTGCGTTTTGTAATTTGAGCTTAATAAAGACATATGTTGTTTTTTTAAGATTCATAACGTAGGTAAATTAATATGTAGAATTATACACGGACTTTTTTTCTACGTTAGAATACTTTTCTTTTATTTGCGAGCTTCTTGGCTAACTTACCAGAACCTTCCATCGGGCAACAGTAAGATTAATATTAATAAATGACTGTAAATAATCATGGTCACCGATATAAATTTAGAATTATATTATGGAATTTGCACGCCATTTAATAACTCATTTACAATAACCAAAACATTATTAATCCTAATATATGGTCAAAATATTCATTTTCTGTCACCTCATTTTTAAAAAACAAAAACAGTGATTCATTGTTATTGTAAACACATTCCCAAAATTTCCATCGATGTTAACAATTTTTAAAGCACGTGACCATTGTTCTTAATATTCACAAACAGAATGAGAAGTAAGAATATGAAGAAAAGATTAACAATAAATGTTTTGAGCAAAAGGTGAAAAACCATCATAATACATACAGAGAGAAAGAGGTCTACTCCATTGACCTCAACTCCGGTGCGCCTAAAAAAAAAAGCAAATGATTTACTCCTCACGAAACAATTATAACTCAAACAGAAAGTAATTTTTCTACGCCGTTGGTCTCGAAGCAATGGTTACTCAAACAGAAATCAAAGGATTTACTCATTTTGCCTGAAAACGGTGATAATTCAAACAGAAAGTAATTTTTCTACGCCGTTGGTCTCGAAGCAATGGTTACTCAAACAGAAATCAAAGGATTTACTCATTTTGCCTGAAAACGGTGATAATTCAAACAGAAAGTAATTTTTCTACGCCGTTGGTCTCGAAGCAATGGTTACTCAAACAGAAATAAAAGGATTTACTCATTTTGCCTGAAAACAGTGATAACTCAAACAGAAAGTAATTTTTTTACTCCATTGATCTCCGAACCCTAAAGGAAGACAAATACTCCATTAGATTAACATTGTGTAGCTCTGCACTCAAACAAAAGCCAGTACCATAGTGGAATGATGTAATTATATTTTGACTTAACAAATTTATAGCCAAAAGTACGATTTGCAAATTCACGTTTAGCGCAACGTCAACATGCAGTACACACAAACAAAGTGAATTAATGTTATAGATAGGAAGAAACGTTTTCTGAATCAGATATAAATCATGCACAATTTAAACTTCCCCGAAATACATTAATGTTATACGTATGAAGAAACTTTAACTGAGTCTTAACTAGATCATTTAAAATTATTTTAACAAACCGTAAAGGTAAAAAATATATATAAATAAATATCAATGCTTTTTTTAAGAACTCGAGTGTCAACCTTATTGAAAAATATAACCACAAATTTTATAATATATTTTTTTTTTTTTTACAAGTACTGTTTTGAGTTGGCACATGATTTACGTGGCAAAGCTTGTAAAACATTTCTTGTTACATGTAAACCTCTTTATAAGTTTTAAGAAGACACATTTCAATATAGTCTTCTGGTAAAAGCAGTATTGTTATTTACCTTTGGTTCATAACACATTAAGAGTTTGATGTTCAATATTCTTCCGCTAGTTGAGACCACAGGTACAATACAGATCTAGTTGTTATGAGAACTTCTGTGTTGAATCCATACAAGTCTATAATGTTGTAAGTTTCACGAATCCTTATACATGGATCGTATACAGTTGTTTGTCACAAAATCTATGCCCTCTCCAGCATACAATTTTGAATACAAAAGCGCCTTTACATTTGCGAAGGAATATGATAACGTTTCTAGTGGGTTGAGCACAAAAGAAATATTGTATCGTAATTGTAAATCCTAAAGGCACAGTACTGTACAGTACTGTTTTAATATATTAGGATCTATTGAAGAATTTGTGTGAAGTACTTGATAAATTACAAAAGTCATATCAGTCTAGAAAAATAGAATAAGCATCCATACCCATACCTCTACTGTAATACATGTTCCTACAGACGCAACATCCATACCTCTACTGTAATACATGTTCCTACAGGTACAACGGACCTTGTCTGACACTGTTATTAGTAGCTCGACCAGCAGAAAAACTGCCATTTAAATACGAAAAAAAAGTTATTCTACAAATTAACTAAAACAAAATGTTTTGTTTATGGTAATATAGGTTTAAGGACTTTGGGTTTACCAGTTACATAGATATATCTCTCTACGTTTTTTAAATGGAGATTGAAATTATAATAATTGTTAAATATTGTTCAGAGAAGTCTGCCTTTTTAGAATAATTATAAATTTAGAGAATTAGTCTTAAGAATTTTGATGAGCAGGAAAATATTTCGGACAATTGTACGCATTTAGTATACATTGATGATGCACCCAGTATTACAGATATAACATATTAGTCAAAGAACCAAAGAAAACTGTATTTTGTTCACATTTGAACAGTGAAATATATACTTGTGTATGGAAGCACATTATGCTAACATAATAGTAAATTGACAACTAACGATTTATAAGCATAATGAAGTGGGAAACATAATACATGTTTCGATCCCAATGTTCTGTGGAAACATATAGTATATTCTCAAACTAAAACCACTTCATTGTGCTTATATATCGTTGTTTATCTATTTACTTATCATATTAAGATATACGTATATCGCAACAGAAAACAGTTTATTAGTATCTCTGTCAAACGGATTCTATATTTATACTTATCATAAATATATTCTACTGTTTGTGATATAACCTCCAAATATAAGGTAAAGGTCATCATATAACGATATCGAACTGGTAGTAGGACAAAGTGTACTGGGTGATGCAAAAATCGCACAACATCACGATTTTTCTAATTCTGCCTTTTCAGCTCTTCGAAATGTGCACTGTTGATATCATGACACAGGATAAGGTAACAACAACAACAAAAAACAGCCAGTGAAACAGAAATATATTTGAAACGAATGACAGAACAAGACCGGAACTTTGAAACATCGTATATGTTGATAGTTGTGATATTTGCATTACCCTACATGCCAGCCCCACTCTTTAAGCTTGGTAATTTAATGGTAACTATAATACTTTTATATGGGATGCAGGGTTCTGCGCTTTTCAAGTAATGGTAACTATAATACTTTTAACTGGGATGTAGGGTTCTACAATTTTCAAGTAATAGTAACTATAATACTTTTAACTGGGATGTAGGGTTCTGCAATTTTCAAGTAATAGTAACTATAATACTTTTAACTGGGATGTAGGGTTCTGCAATTTTCAAGTAATAGTAACTATAATACTTTTAACTGGGATGTAGGGTTCTACAATTTTCAAGTATTTTTTGTGCGATTCTTTGTTGAATGTTTGAACTAGTTTATTTTCCTAAAATATATAAAATATTATTTTTAGGATTCACTTTTCCTTCCTTCCCATCCTACAAGTGGGTTAGTACAGTTATACCATCACAGCTTACGTAGTTTTAGAGAAAATTAATCTGTGGTTGCTTTCTTAATTATTTTTTTTTTTTAATATAGAAACGAACTTTTTCGCGAAATGAATTTCCTGTCCAAGTTGTTCACACAAACAAGCAGGTTTCTCGCACGCATATGTGACGACAGAACTACGGAATTCACACGTGGGACATAACTCTGTCCACTAAGGAACTTCGTTAATAAAATGAAACTACTGCTGACTTATGCATAAGCTCTGCGTTAGTACATGAAGAATACTAGCTTTTTTAGGGTTGCACACTTTTCTTTAACCGGATATTAACCTCAGCCAAGTTAAGCAGAAGAGTGGAGGAAAATTGATACAATACAGAGATACATCAGGAAACCGCTTTGAAAAACTTGAAACTAACTTACAAGGAAGTTCCAGTGTCTAATGGTAGAATGAAAATACACAATACAGAGATACATCAGGAAACCGCTTTGAAAAACTTAAAACTAACTTACAAGGAAGTTCCAGTGTCTAATGGTAGAATGAAAATACACAATACAGAGATACATCAGGAAACCGCTTTAGAAAACTTAAAACTAACTTACAAGGAAGTTCCAGTGTCTAATGGTAGAATGAAAATACACAATATAGAGATACATCAGGAAACCGCTTTAAAAAACTTGAAACTAACTTACAAGGAAGTTCCAGTGTCTAATGGTAGAATGAAAATACACAATACAGAGATACATCAGGAAACCGCTTTAAAAAACTTAAAACTAACTTACAAGGAAGCTCCAGTGTCTAATGGTAGAATGAAAATACACAATACAGAGATACATCAGGAAACCGCTTTAAAAAACTTAACATTAACTTACAAGGAAGCTCCAGTGTCAAAGTTTGAATTTTCAGCATTGAAATTCTCAAGCCTCGACACACAACTTGAAATGGTTTTGAGCAACTCCCTGGGTTGGAGCTTTAAAATAATTTATTATTATTACTTTTTTTCTTCTACCTTATTTGCTTAAATACCAACTAGTGTTTATATTACAAATATGTAAATATTAACAGAAATGTAATCAAATTTTTTCAAAAGACTGTTCACTTTAGATATTTAAACAACAACGCATAAACACACACATGCGAACATTCATGGAAATAAAATATATTTTTTTTAAGTTAAATGAAAAAATAAGGTTCAAATCATTTCACTCATTTAACACATCTGTTCGTTCGAAACTCAAGTCTAAAAATTCAAACAAGCATTTCAATTGGTGATAAAGACTGACACTTTGTAAGCCTGAAAAAAAAGACTTGATTTACGATGTAGATATCAAAATAACATTAGGTTACAAATAACAACCCAAAATTAATATAATTGAGAAATGTGAAATTTCTTATTTCACACTTGCCAAAAGTGGCCTCTAGCGATATTGCTGTAGAACTAAACAAATACATCGAATAAAAGACTAGATTCTGATGAATAAAATAATTTTCCCTTTACGTTATTAACTCGTCATAATCACAAAATATAAAATAAATTAAATAATAAGTTCTGGCTACGTTTTCACATTATAAATAACCTTGAGTAATATGTCCAGGATATTTCACAAACATATTTAAGCAATTACAATAGTGAAATAGAAAAGCGACAATATGATCATTTGCGAAAATGTTAACTTTTCTTTTATTTGAACTCGATGACACGCTGAACCCATGTGTTTTTAAACAAAAAATATAGTAAAGTCGTAATGTGTTTCAGATTTGTGGGTATCATACTGGACAGTGGATTCATAGTTGAGTTGACTTTATTTAATTGTAGCTTCATTAGTCTCTCACTAAATATACTTTCTGTTGAATAGAGGCTATGCTCATCATTGGACCTAGTTTAAATAATGGACGACTCAAATTTACTTCTTAAACTGTATTGTTTTTTTTTTACTTATAACAATCTCGTTTTTGCAGCACTGTTATTCCATAAAGCCGTGTAGGATATTCCATAAAGCCGTGTAGGAGTGACAACATTCAGGTTTACAAATCACCACACAATTTCCTTCGGTGTTCCTAAAGCAAGTATACTGGGCAATACTTATATCATAGATAAATAATACTTTTATGAACATCTGAATAACTTATATATTTAATTTTTATATATACCTTACATACACTTTTTGTGAGCTAAGCTAAATTTCACGAAGTAACTAGTTGAGCGACATCTTTCTCTTCCTTTCACAATCTCGTATAAGGACAATTAAGAGAAAGAACACATTAAAACAGTTTATAGTTTGCCACTAAATAGAAAATCTTAAATATTTTTCCTCTTGGCTCTGTTTTTTTTTTCTCCTCAAGATCTTCCTTTTCTGTCCCTCCCTTCATCTAGGAAATATGTGAGCATTTCCCCCTTCCCCTTCACTTTTGTATAACCACGACATTCTAGTGTATAGCCATGTTCTTCTAATACCACGTAGACATCATGGGTAACCTGAACAATCAAATAAGAGATATTCGGAGGATTAAAAGTGTACTTCAACACAATGTAGAATCTAATATTCAACCTGCAAAAGCACAAAGTTGGAAATAAAAATTATATTTTTAGAGAAGGAAGTTAAAGTTTGATTTTAATAAGTTATGAAAAACCTACTTAATCATTTTTTGATTCACTACTGTTTAATCCTATCAAAATTGGGTTCAGTTTTACCATGGAACAACAAAACGGTTTTGAATGTATTTGGTATTATGTGATTTTACTTCGTAGCATCATATCCTGGTAGTTATGGCACTCGACTCACAATCTATGGATCGCGAGTTCGAATCCCGTCATCGACCATGATCGCCCTTTCATCCGCGAGGGCGTTATTATGTCATGGTCAATCCCGTTGTAAATAATAACCCAAGAGTTGTTGATGGGTAGTGTTGACTAGCTGCCTTCCCATTAGTCTATTACTTCAAAGTTAGGGACGGTTAGCACAGATAGTCCTCTAGTAGCTTTGCGCGAAATTCCACAAACAAACAAACAATGTTAGCATTTATTAATCTGTTTAAAACCACTAAAACTTTCGCGTATATTTGTGTCTTACGTATGCAGTTTCTGGACCTCGCTGATAATTAAATTCCGTAGCATTAGATTCAATTCCCAAAAGATAATTTTTGCTGAATAAATATTTTTTGCGACTGAAACCAGTCTTTTATTTGGACTAAAAGTAATATATTTTTTACTATAATATTTATTGTGATAGTATAAATATATTGTCATCAACGTTAAATTCGAATAGATTACCTGAATCTTTCCCATTTCTCCCGTGCTGTCCATTCGACTAGCAACATTAACAGCATTACCCCAGATGTCGTACTGAGGCTTCTTGGCTCCGATGACCCCAGCAACAACTGGACCAACATTTAAACCTATAAAAAAGTACAATGGAAGACTTTATGAAATGAAATTCCTTAATACGTTTCTTACTAAGACAGCAGAACGTTAAGAAACAAGACTGCTCAGTTCCCGTGGACACATCAACAGGACAAATTTGGAAATTCAGAAATAAAGACGTTTCTCTTTAAACTATCCCTTTTCCTAACTACAAATATAGTTTCCCGAAAAGAACAAAACCAGTTGCGAGACTTCTGTGTCCCCCTTATTAATACGTACTAAATTGTTTAAACGAAAGCCTAAAACAATAAATATTACACAATTTGAAGATCGTTCACAAATACGATATCAGGTCTGTTTGAGAACATTATTATATGTGCTGATTGAGCTTCAAATCCCAATGCCAACGTATATGAATTCTGTAGTCCAGAAGTTAAATACTCATTGTAAATTGTCTCTTGTATTTCTTTCAGAAATGTTCATGAAACAAAAATAAAAGAAGAAATATTATAAAGTTGTTAGCATAATGAATTAATAAAAATCAATACTTTCCTAGTCAAAATGTTTGAAACTGATAAACCAAAACAAATATTGAGATCCATCTTGGTTGCAGTGAGAGTAAAAACCGATCATTCTAAAGTATTAAATAACAAAAATAATTAATTATAAAGGGTAGGCAATAAGAGCTAGTCCGAATTTCACCCATGTTTCACACTAATATTTATTGGGGCACCTTGAATTTGAGTGAATAAAGAAACAATAATAACAGTCAATACACTTCAAACGAAACGTTGTAAGGCTGAATTCCAAATCCTTACCAATCCGAATTTTAAAATTATTGAAGGAATGTTCGTTAACATAATCCAGCTGATCCCTTAGCCGTATAGCAAAGTCCGCCATAGCTGTAATATGAGAGTGTGAAGCCAGGTCAGTGGAGGCAGATGTCAGGCCGGAGGCAGCCATGTACGTATAACCGGTTGTCTTGATCTTTTCGATACAAGAAAACTGTTTTTCTTCTACAATCTGTATAGAACGGTTAATTAGTCAAGTAAATTCTTAAAAAGAGGGCGCCATTAAAAATATTAAGAATATTAAATGAATTACTTTTTTAAAATTACACAATTAAGAATTTTTCGTTGTTTAAAGGATAAACTGCATTCATATATAATATAATTTACTACAAGTTTTTTCAGTTTAGCTTCTTTAAACTAAATCTCAACAACGATTGGTTAAAAATCAATAGCTTAAATTAATACATATTATATAAGTTACATCAAGTGTTTTCTATGTTGCTGTTCGTACGATTAATTTTTATTCTAAGATCTTGTTAAGGTATTTTTATGAAAAATAATATAATAAGGTATCATACATTTAATGTGCTACGAATACTAATAGAACGCACGTGGCCTAGAAACTTCCAAATTTGTAAGTGTTTAAAAAATCAGACTGATTTGAAGAGATTTCAGACTTAGACAAGATTTTGCAGGGTAAAAAGAATAACAGATCTTTTATCATTTTTTTCTCGAGATCAGGCAATATGGAAACAGGAGTTAGCGAGTATTCCATTTTAAATCGACTTTCATCTTGGAGACGGCTTGACTGGGTAATGAAGAAAACTTTATTACAAATGTACCTGAAGAGGACGTAATCCTGTCGAAACGTCATACATTTACTATAAAGTTTTTCTTTTCCTCTCCCAGTCAAGCCGTCTCCAAACTTTTATTTTCTAAAAAGTGGGTTCCTAATCATCAAATCTATTCTCAGTAGTGATTTCTAATTTTCCTTTATGTATCAGCTCGTATTTATTTTATTCTATTTATTCATTTTCTAGCCATTTTCAGGGTAACTTGGTATATTTCCTGACACTTTATAGCTTAATATGTTTCGATACACCCAGCAATAAAAACTAAGAACCACTTTGAAATGTTGTATGTTTCGGGGGAAGGGAGGCATTACGTCAACGTAAAAACCGAAGAACGTTCCGTAGAGCAGGGGAAAATGCTTTACTCATTTAAGGTTACGGAGGTAAGCGCCTAAAGGTGGCGAAGCAATGGTACCAATAGGCCTAATGCTTTACTCATTTAAGGTTACGGAGGTAAGCGCCTAAAGGTGGCGAAGCAATGGTACCAATAGGCCTAACAGTCATAATTAAAATCACACTAGATTGTAGTTGTTTTCTCCTTTTGTCACAAGTCTGATTTGAAAACTACTAACGAACTAACTAAGATAAACGTGGATAAATACCTGCCGTCTAGCGTAGGTTTTAATCATAAATACTAGTTCTAGTGCTTTACTTAATCGTTTGTAAACCATACTTGGTGAATACAAAATCAGAAGAGAGGGAATTACCTCGTCAAAATCTGCAATGATTTCATTCAGCAGTCGTAAACATTCCACTCCCTCATTGTTCCCCTCTAACTCCATGTAGAACTCACTGAAGTTAGGGATAGAAGCAAACATGATGCAGACACTATCTCGCTGCTCGTGGTACAAGTCCTGAAGAAATAGGTTTTATCGAATCAAAACTTGTGACACTTGATACACCAATACCTAACTTTGTAGCAAAGCGTGGTACTTTGAAGGTTTGAGTTTACTTGAAAAAATTGTTTGCTTTCTTTTCCACCTCAAAACTTCATATTGTACTTTCTGCGCTATGCCCACCACAGCGTTATAAGTCCTCCAGTTTATCGCCGAGCTACAGTATACTAACGAATGGATCTCGAGAGACTGCCGTTTCACTGACTTTTCAATACACAACAATTTTTATGCTTTAATGGAGTTACTAATCAAATTATCCGGTTTCTTCAGTTAACTAAAGTTCCAATATATATCTAGAACTCAAGCAGAACAAGTAGTATTGATATATATTATCATAATTCCATTATCTAAAAATCATTTTGCGCTGATATGTAGAATTATTTTATTATACCTTTCCCTTAAGCAGCAGAGAATTAAGTTCCATAGAGAGAATAAAGAAAATCGGATCATCACGTCCATCACTTAGAAACTGTATGAAAAAAAACGTACAAACGGACGCTTATAGAAAATTGTTGCTTTGTCGTGTAAATAAATGAACTCAGTATAGCGATAGATAATTTGTTTCTTTATTTGTTTGAATTTCGCGCAAAGCAACACGAGGGCTATCTGCGCTAGCCGTCCCTAATTTAGCAGTTTATGACTAGAGCGAAGGCAGCTAGTCATCACCACCCACCGCCAACTCTTGGGCTACTCTTTTACCAACGAATAATGGGATTGACCGTCTCATTAAAACGCCCCCACGGCTGAAAGGGCGAGCATGTTTGGTGGGACGGGGATTCGAACCCACGACCCTCAGATTACGAATGCCCTAACCACCTGGCCATCCTGGGCCTCGCGATAGATAAAAATCTAATAAATTAAAAGAGAACATAGTTTCTGATAAATGTGTCAACGTAATAAACAAAAGGTCTCAGTGTACTTACAAAGCAGGGTTAATGACAAAGTTCAAGAATCCAATGGTTTGATGCTGCGGTACTAAAAAATATCATTTTCCATCAAAAACTACAAAGCTTACTTTCACCATGTAAAACTATAAAGCTTACTTTCACCATATAAAACTACAAAGCTTACTTTCACCATGTAAAACTATAAAGCTTACTTTCACCATATAAAACTACAAAGCTTACTTTCACCATATAAAACTACAAAGCTTACTTTAACCATATAAAACTACAAAGCTTACTTTCACCATATGAAACTACAAAGCTTACTTTAACTATATAAAACTACAAAGGTTACTTTCACCGTATAAAACTACAAAGCTTACTTTAACCATATAAAACTACAAAGCTTACTTTCACCATAGAAATATTAAGATTATCGTTCTGCGTTCTTATTGATATTACAAAAGAAAACAACTACGTAAAATGTTTTTCTTTTCTTTTTTTGATGACAACATTACGGCAACCCGCGAATATCGTATTTTTTTAAGAATACTAGAAAAACAGTAACTCATGCCAACTTGTACCATCACGTCACAAATACAAAGTAGAAGGCTTCCTTATTATTCTTGAAAAAAAGAAAGAAAAAATGTATACCACGAAAAATGGCTAATACGAAATAGATGTTTTAAGATTCACAACGTTTCGGGCTGGAGTGCCCTTCCTCTGGTGATTTTAACATTGTTGTTTATACTTTATACTATTTTTAGAAGTTTTAAGGATGCTGTCACAAATTAATGTGGATCTTTAAGCCTAAAGTCGTTAAATAATTAAGATTTTAAGCATTCAGACTTGGAATTTTTAAACTGAACGGTACCTTATGCGCACGTGGGCTAAATGGCCAGGTCATACATCTTAGGGTTCAGATATACCTGCTCATAATTTTAAACTACTGGCTAACCAGAAGCATTCGCTGCCTCTGGGCCTTTTCTGGCTCTTTGAACTGAATAATCGAATTGACTATCAGTTTTATGATGTGCTCATAATTTAAAGTGCATATAGCACATTCAGCGACATCATACCTATAATCCCTCAACTCGTAGACTGATGAGCTTATCACAAGACCACGCCCAGTCTTTAGCATTCAAAAGGTAGTACTAGCCCAAGAGCCCATGGGTCTGGTATGACTTGGTAGCTAGGGTTCTCGACTCGTAAGATCCGGGTCACGGGTTCGAAGCCCATCACTAAACATGCTCGCCCTTTCATCCGTGGGAGCGTTATAACATGACAGTGAATCCCACTTTTCGCTGTTACAGTGTAGCCCAAGAGTTGGCAGTGAATGGTGTTGACTAGCTGTCTTCCCTCTAATCTATCTATATATAAAATTCAAAATCTCTCTGTTTGTTTGTTTGCTTGCTTGTTTGTTTGTCCGCCACGTTCACTGTGCAGGTCACACTTTCCTCGCGTGAAGGTGCGCAAAACGACAATTTTTCGTTGATATACGCGTTTATCGTCTGCTAGCCGAACCGGTAATTTTATCGTTAACATATACTTTACACGAATAAATTCTATGCAGACTTGACATTTTTTGGTGAGTTTCAGTTAACATTTAATTTAGAATACAGCATTATAGGCCAATTTAGTTATAGATCATTAACTATACATCTACTAATACATCATATATTTAACCTCACACACAAACAAAATGTATCCAGTATTAGAATGTCGAATGTGAGAAAGCAAACAGTTAGCTTAGCCTATAAAATAAAATTATGCCGTCTGCTATAAAATATACTACGTGAAAAAAGTAAGGCTTACATTATAATACTTGTTGCGTAAAACGAGATTAAAGTCAGCGAATGTAATTTATCCTTTTTTTTCTCAGGGTTGTTTGATTCCTGGAAGTGGATTTTTTGTTTTGATACATTATAAAGTACAATATTGCATTTTGTTTGTGGCATATTTCATACATCAATGTCATAATATGAATACGGTATCACATTCATAAAAATATATTAAATTTACATTATAGCAAATTCAACATAATATTACATACATATATATGTTTGAGATTTTAATATTTGAGAGGGATGGGGGGAATAGAGCTAGGCTCATCCTGTTCCCAGAACGGTACTCATACGTGTATAAGATAATCTAAATATTCTCCACAAGAGCCTATTTATCTTTGCGAGTAAAAACATCGTTCATAAGGAAGCCCTGATTTAAAACAGGTTCTAGTTTATTTTCAAAAATCAAAACTAAGGTTGCTTTTGTTTTTTTCATAAATTCACAAAATATTTTTTTTACCTATCGAAATATGGAACGGGGAAACAGAAAGAGTAGGTTTTTTTTCTCGAAAACGCGAGAAACGTCGGGTAACGCTGCTAGTCATTTATAAATTAGAAATGGCTAGCACAAGTAGCCCTCGAGTAGTTTTGGGCGAAATTCAACAAGACAAACAATAGTATCTCATAGTTTATAATAAACGTTCTCATATCAGTAAAATAAGGCTCTATCTTGTTTGACTTCTATTAACGTTACATGGGGGAGTAAACTATAAACTACCTCGTTTCTATGGTCAGCAGCTAGGAAATGTTCAGCCACGTGCGCTGGAAGGATGTTACTGAGAAGTTTTCTGTTGTAGGCCTGGAGGTGTTCCATATCTTCCTTCTCTTCCACTGCCTGCAGTTTCCAAAGAAAATCTAACCTCTCGGTCGATTCTGCTTGATGTCCGTGTATCAACAGGGCCACGAGGAAAAGTACTACCATCAGGATAGCAAGGTATTTTGATGGTGTTGACCCACGATCCATTTCTCTGTTTTAGAAAATCATGAAAATAACTATTGTTTTAGTTGAGCAACACTATTAGTAATAATACGTATTATGCTGAACTCGCACAACAAGGGCTAAGGCAATTCAAACTTATATTAATATTTATTACAGTCTTGACTGCAATAAGAACCCGTAATTATTAGTTCGTGATGAACCTGAATTGTGTTTCGTGAAATACTGTGGTCATCGTCTTTCAATGCCACCCAGTGTCACAGCGGTAAGCCATGACGCTAGAGACCGAGTTTCGAAACCCGTGGTGAGCACAGCACAGATAGCCCATTGTGTAGCTTTGTGCTTAAGTGCAAATAAACAAACAAACAAACAAATCATCTATTCAAACTTAGGCCACATTTCATACATGGAGGCTATATAAACTGAATACAAAATAATTATAAAATTTAAAATTTAGGAGTTCAATCTATTTATTAAATTAAATAAGGTAAGAAGACTAATTAAATATCAAACGATTAATGATGACGTGGAAATGCATTATTTGTTTTGTTTTCTCTTCTGTCTCATAATACAGTAAACCTCCAGCTATCCAAATTGCACAAGTATCCCACAGAATGATGCAATTTATTCATAATACAGTAAACCTCCAGCTATCCAAATTGCACAATTATCCTACAGAATGATGCAATTTATATAGTTTATTGCTTTTACTTGATCGGGTGTACGTCGGAAAATCCCGCGTAGAAATCAAGAAATTTTATTAGACGACCAAATGATCAATATCCTATCTTTAAAAATATTTATGTATTTTTAAAGTTCATCAGCTATTTTTGTTTTACTCTCTAACTGACAGTTACGAATGATCAGACGGTTGGAAATGCTTTATTTATTTTCAGGATCTTTGCTGTTCATGTTTAAATTGTGTAATTTATAGTACTGTCTACTGGATTTTCTGCGTATCAGGGGCTATCAGGGGAACTGGTCCCCCAAGAACTCTATGCATACGGACACGGTCATCTTGGTGAGTGCGGTGATGCTTGTTTCTATGCATATGATGTATGTGAATGTGTTAATCTAGTTTGTATATATATAATATGTGTGTGTTTAAAGCTCACCCCATTATCAGTCATATTTAAAACCTGCGCATTGTCCTGATATTGTGTATTCAAACCACTGATCAAAGTGGAAAAATAAGTGTAGGTATGAAAAATCGGTACAGAGAGTAAAGAGAACAGTGTGTATAATATTTTATGTTTAAAATCGAGTACAGAAAGACGATATTGAAATTTATTTGTAGAACAATACAACAATAAGCGAAGAAAATCGAATTGAAAATCATAAGTTTCCATTTCGAACATTCAGGAATAAAAAAAAAACTTCCTTCTAAAGTAGCAGTATTGAAAAATGATTTAAATAGAGCGTTGGAATGCTATGTACCGCTGCATAGCCTATCTACGTCGAGCGCTAATCTGAATTCTTATCAAAATCTTTCTGAAAAATGTGAAAATTGGCGAGAATCGAACCAGCAACTCTACAAAGTATACAGACTCAGCTACTGTATCTCGAATATCCCATCTATTATTTTCCTCTCATTGACTATTAAGATTGGAACTTAGTACAGTTTTGAGCTATGCTAATGTGCTTATAAAACTCAAAATTTCGTAGGCTGGTTGCCTAAAGCACCTGCCCGTTTAAAAGAATCATGGGTTGGAAACCCACATGGTCTCAGAATATTTAAACCCAAATCAAGTGCTTTATATATTTTGATATAGTAAAATTACAATTACACACATAAAATCGCTTTTTTTTGAAGAAATATTCTATAGGCAATAATATTGTGTTTCACAGACAAAACAGAATAGCATTGATTAAAACAAATGAGCTAAGAAACACTTATACCAAGTCTTGGGATTCTAAAATATACAAGTATTCGAGATTTGTTTAATTTGTCGTACATACTACTGTGCACATACAACCCATTACCCAACTTCCTATGCTTTCACACCCATATTTGGATTTAAATATGTGGGATAGGATGAAAACATAAGATTAAAGCAAAAAGTGTTAATGAGTAAATCAAAACACGAATCTTGAAACTTAAAATACCATGAACTATTTTAAGAATTTGTTCCTCTCGTTGTAACAGATGCTGGAACTTAAACTTTTAAATCTTGATGTGTATTGTTTATCATACATATTCTTAACTACTTATCTATCTGACACGTGTTTCTCTGCATTCTGGTAGGCATTTGTGTACATGGGTATTTACTATATAATCTATGTAACATGTGTACATGTATACTTACTCTATATTCTATTTTGGAATGTGTACGTGTGTATTTATCTATATTCTGTTTTGGAACGTGTACATGTATACTTACTCTATATTCTGTTTTGGAATGTGTACATGTAAACTTACTCTATATTGTGTTTTGGAATGTGTATATATGTACTTACTATATAATCTATGTAACATGTGTACATGTATACTTACTCTATATTCTGTTTTGGAACGTGTACATGTATACTTACTCTATATTCTGTTTTGGAACGTGTACATGTATACTTACTCTATATTCTGTTTTGGAACGTGTACATGTCTACTTACTCTATATTCTGTTTTGGCATGTGTATATGTGTACTTACTATATATATTCTGTTTTGGAATGTGTATATGTGTACTTACTATGTATTCTGTTTTGGCATGTGTAAATGTGTACTTACCCTGTATTTTATTTTGACATGTTTACTTACTCTGTATTCTGTAGTAGCAAACGGTCATACATCTCGAACAAAGGTGCCTGAACAAGAAGCGGTAAGGGGCAGAAACCTCCAACGAAAACAATAAGGATCAAGAACTTGTGCATCACACTCAAAGTTAGGTATGGTGCTACGCTCAGCATCACTAAAACCATGCTAAAGGAGATAAACTGATACGAAAAGAAGTATTAGCATCTTTCTTAACAAAAGTTTACTTTTAATTTTGTAGCACATTTTACGTTTCATATTAAAATTAAAGTTCTCAGTGTTTCATTCACAAGTATTTTAATTGTTCAAAATTTTCATGATCAAAAATCCTATAAATATTACACCTCAATGAAAGGATTTCAGCTAAAATCAATTGCACATAAATGAAACTGCGTAGCACACAGGAATAAAGTTGAAACAAAATTATTCACTAGTGCCCTCTGTTGGGATTTTCTAACCACCAGTTTACAAATATTAAAATGATTTAAATATGTATAACTAAATATTCAATATCAACAACTATTAGTAGGTTGAACTTTATTTGACCCTTAGTATACACACTCACATACATATACATATGAATACACTGTATTTTATAGATTATACGTGTACACATACACACACACACATAATATACACTTTTATGTAACAACGAATACATTAAGATTTGAAATATTAACTCTCATTTCGTTACCTCTGGCACTCTAGGAAAGTCTCTAATGGCACAGTCTTCAGATATTCGGACGTCTATCAAGAAAGACACATTGAGAGAGGAATTGAAAGTATTGTTTACTAACACCCAACATCCAGTCTGAGAAACTTCCAAGAAACACTGAAAATATGCTGAACTGTGGGTCCTAGAGTCTCTTATTCGTGTCTCGTTGTCACACACACACAAAGAAATCTTGCTGCGCTCTTTGAAGCAGTTGGTATGTTATAATCGTGCTGGCCAAATCTCACTATTCGATTAGAGTAGCCAAAGAGTTGGCGGTGGGTGTTGTTGATTAGCTGCTTTTCCTCTTGTCTATGAGTTCAAAATTGGGGACGGCTATGCGCGGGTACCCCTTGTGAGAATATTTGAAAGAAAAATAAAATCTTATTCTGCTGTTTTTCCTCCGCTAACCACAAGGCTACGCTCACATAATAACAAAATATACACTGGCGAAATTATAGGATAATAAAGCAAAAAAATGGAATGTGTTTAAAATTAGATTAGCAAAAGGGGTAGATTTTGAGCAGTACCATTAAAATGTATGCTATATAGTCAACAGTGCCACCGCCAGCAATGTTGGTCATGCTCTTCGGACAATACGAGTACGGTAGATTGTAGCACTGGTGTTCTGGAAGAGCCCTTAGTCTTGAGTATGAAAACACAACATTCATATGGATATGCACAGAACAACATTCAGGTTCATTCTGGAAGTTATTCACCCTTTTAAAGTATGCAAATTATACAACCCCTGTTACAGAAATGCCCCTCCAATATTCCACCATCAACAGCAGCCTACGCGGGATCGAAACCAGGCGCCAAACAAGCTCACCCTTTCAACTCGAGGGGGGACATTATAATGTAGCGGTCAATTCACACTATTCGTTAGTGAAGAAAAGTCCAAGAGTTGGCGGTGGGTGCTGCCGGCCGGTTGTTTTACTTGTGGCAGGAAGTTCATAGTAATACAAGTCGACAGATAACCTTAGTAGTTTTCCATATACAAAAATAATAATAATTTTGTAGTAAAATAGATGATAATTAAAACACATATATGAGCAGAAATGCATTAAAAATAGTGAATTCATAAAAAAACAACTGAATGTTGCTATGTGTCAGTTAAGTTTCTTACCGGAAAACGTAAATATTTAAAGGAATTTCTCCTCGTGTTTACTGAATGAAACAGGTATCATTAAAATACTGAAAGTGCTGTACAAGCATATTAATTACTGTTCATGTTTATCCAGTAACATCAAACTTCACATAGTAGTTTCATGTAGCTTGTAATGTGCAGATAGTTGTTCTGGAACATAATAACACTCACCAACGGTACCATGCACACTGTGAAGAGGATGGCCAATACTACCAAGGCCAAAGCTTGGCTGTGTTTTCGACTGGCTGATATGTTACTGGTTAGCCTTCTTATTAGGGCTGGTATCTTGCGCGTTATGTTCTAAAAATATAGAATAAAATCACGTTCTTTGATCTCTAGCATAATATTGACAGCACAACAATCTATTCGGAGAAATACACACTCGCTGACTTAATAAACACTAAAAATGATTTAATATTAAACATGATCATTTCAAATAGCTGTTCAACAAACACATCTTCGAACAGTTTTTCACTCTAGCTGACCGGTTAGACAAAGATTGTTTAGTTGATTATGAAATATCGTTTATGCAAAAAATAAAAAAATAGCAAACCAATATTTGTACAAGATTTACATAAATAAGAAGTAAAACACATTTCCACGGAAGAGTGATCAGGAGCGTGCTGCCATCTAGTTTAAATACAATCTAAATATCAAGTCTTTTTACGGAGCAAAATGATAAAACTTCGTATGGACGTTTAAGCTAACACAAAAACTGACAGACTCTATTAGTTAACTCCAATAATATGCTTTTTTTTTTAGCAATATCTTACTTTTCGCTGGTGTTTTAGTTGTTTTTCCATACAATGCCTCGTTCATCGGTTAACGTATTCTGTCAATACGATTGTTTATTATCATATCAAAACTTGGGTTTCATACCAATCGATTTAAAAGGCTTGTCATCTAAGAATTTTAATTTTTACATTATCCAATTATAATTAATTCTAATGATATTTGGAATTTTGTTCAGAAAAAAGACCATTGGATCAAAACTTTGGGCGACTCTTCCCTTGTGTCGTTTTTTAATATTTTAATCTATTTGTAGTTACACGTTGATTGTTAATTTTTTATTTTGCTAAACAAAATATTTTATACAAATGGAAAAAGGAAATTCTTACACTGCATCCTAAGATATTTCCGTAATTATACAATTGTTTTAAACACATTTCGGTTAGGGTATTTTGTATGATCCGAAGCAACTACGAAAGGGATGTAGAATTAAATGATACCCTGTTTATATAGCCAAACAGAATCTTAACCAAGTTCATAACTAACACCCTCACCTGTTTTAAAATCCTTATTAAGGTGAGAACTCCAACAATACACACACCTCCAATAACTTGTAGAAAAGGTCTTAACCAGTATCTGTTATAAAATAGAAATATAAGATATATACATATATACATATATAAGAAACTAAAGTGTATGATAGAGAAGGTAGAGTCATATCAACAAATTGTACAAATATACAATTCATTAGTTTTATTTTGTCTATTGGTTTTCTTTATTTCCACGTTTTCTGCTAGTAAGTTGTTGGTAAGTATTTTATATTTATATTTTATATTAAAAGAAGTTGTGGGAGGAGTTTCACCTATTGTACTAAAATATGAAAAATTGTGGAAGTGACACAGATAGTAAAACGTTTATTAGTTTTATAGAAAATTTTATTTCGATTGAAAATTTTATAAGATAATATTATTAGAGCATAGTGTGACGTATGATATATTAATCAAGTGAAAGAATTAGAGAATAAGAATATTTCTAGCAATAATTAAAAAAACAATTCGTTTTTTTAGAGCAAAGCCACATTGGGTTATATGTTATGCTATAGTGCAAGGTTATATTTTAATGCAGGATTACACTTATATAGATTATTTTAAATCAGGGTTATACTTATATAGATTATTTTAAATCAGGGTTATACTTATATAGATTATTTTAAATCAGGGTTATACTTATATAGATTATTTTAAATCAGGGTTATACTTATATAGAATATTTCAATGCAGGGTTATACCTATGCATAAAAAATCAATTGCCTTCATATAGAAAAGGTACTACAAAGGATAAAATCTTTGTTCACTTACATAGGAAATATAAGAAGCTGAATAATGGCTATGAAAAGTAGAAGCAGGCCGCTAGATAAAAAATACGTCTCGAGCATTTTGTCTTCTTCTTGCATGTACTAGAAAAGAAAATGTGGTTGTTGGATTTTTTATAATAACTCTGTACTTCAAAACTTAAACAACTATATAAATATAAAAAACAATATGCAGGATTTCTAATATGGATATAGAAGTTATTGCTAATATATTTTTATTGAAAATAATTGGTTCTCGACTCAATAAAAAAATGTTGTTTACAATATTTCGTAAAACAGATTTCATGCTAAAAGTGTTTGTTGTGGCTAATTCGCCCCAAAAGTTTCTTTTTCTTTACCAATTATAATTGTTGTTTGAAGTTAAACAGAAAGCTACACAGTAAGCTATCTGTGCTCTGCCCACCACGAGTATCGAAACCCGCTTTCTAGTATTGTAAGTCCGCAGACATGCCGTTGTGCCACTGGGTGGCACCAATTACAAGAAACAAAACAAAGAAATTACATCATCGATTGGCATAAATATGAGACAAACTTCGAAACATTTACCGTATGCCAATTATGCACAAACTTTAAGAGTAAAAATTTTCAAACCTTTAGTTTGAATTGTAACGAATTTGTTATTATATCAACGTTTGTTTAGATTAAATTTATATTTAGAAACATACATAGCTTATACTGTTAAATATGTATTGCGAAACTCCCGCCTATTCTCCAAAGTTGTAGAAGATTCTCGAGAGTAGGAATCAACAATATATTTATATACCTAAACGCTCAAAAGTAACTCAGTATTGGTACGTAATCTGAATTTCCTAGAAAACCTTCCCACGCCTATAAATATAACCAACGCGATGCGCCAAGAGAGAGTATCTATTATTAGTTCGCTATGGTCAGTGTGCTATAAAACTTCGGAAGCTATAACTGATTATTATAACGCTTACCAATCGGAAAACTTCAGATATTTGACCAGGAGCATTTACAAAGTTCGAAAATTACAACTCATTTAACTTTAGTGGATCCTCATCGGACATTAGTATTTTTACGAAAACATTATATAAATTCATCGTGGAAAGCTCAACGTGTGTGACCGGTAAATAACGAAGGACAAAGCTAGCTAGCTTCCGGTTTAGGGAATCGTATCCAAATTAACTCGCTCATCGTGAACCCTTGATAAGATATCAAGAAAGTTCCAGACTAAAAGGAAAAATTTATATTGCGTGTAAGTTTGGGAAACTTTTGTTTATAAATCATTGTTTGTAATAACTATTTGTAATAATTGTTATTGTAACTTGTACTGTTGTATGTATATTAAAACGTATTTGTGTTAAAAAAGAAAACTGTGTGTATCAATCTTGTTGGCAAATATCATAAACTGACTATAAATCGGCTTTACTTAACTACTAAATCTAAAGTACAATTTAACTACTAAATTTAAAGTTATCAGTTAAGTCAATTTCCGAGCATTTGAAATTCTAAGACGTAACAGAACAATGTTGCAAACTTCTGTATGAGTTTTAATTTAACATTTAGAAAGTTAAGATCATTCATGATCCTTCAGTTCATTTATAAGATTCTAAACCACCATGTCGCTGGCCGAAGTAAAAAATTGGTTTGTTTTTTATTAAGTGCAAAGCTACTCGAAGATTATCTGTGCTGGATGCTCCTACTCTTGTCAGGCCGAATAATGGGATTGACAGTTAATCTTATAACGCAGTAACGGGACTCGAACCACGGATCCTCATATTCGCAGTCCTGCACCTTAAATATTGGACTTAGCTCGGCCGCAGTGTAAAATGCAAAAAAAAAGTGAGTTTATACTATATTGACGCATTATAAGTGAAACGGCTTAGCGATAATGTTTCTACACATCTTGACTTTTTTTATAGTGACTTGATTGTGACATTCTGATCTGTTATACACATTAATCGGTACTAGAACAAGCAAACGTCTGAGAGTTTTCGCACGACAAAGCTAATATGATTGGAATTTTAACCGACTTTATTATTGTTTTGCACACTGAAAAGTTAAAACTACGTAAAAAAAGAGCAATTTAATATCAACTATATACATACCAAAGAAGTGATAAATTAAATATATAACAATACAGTTACAAAACAATCAATAAGGCGCTCGACTCGCAATCTGAGGGTCGCGGGTTCGAATCTCCGTCCCGCCAAACATGCTCGCTCTTTCAGCCGTGGGGGCGTTATAATATGACTGTCAATCCCACTATTCGTTGGTAAAATAGTAGCCCAAGATTTGGAGGTGGGTGGTGTTGACTAGCTGCCTTTCCTCTAGTCTTACACTGCTAAATTAGGAACGGCTAGCGCAGATAGCCCTCGTGTAGCTTTGCGCGAAATTAAAAAAAAACAAACAAACAATCACAATCATTACTTAATACAAGTACATTATATTAAACATGAGAGCTACATCAATTAACATATAATTGTAATAAAAAAGGTTTTGCACCTTCTCTTCCACTTCTTGCTTGCGAAATCTCAATAAAAATCTTTTGCAATGTTCGGACCGTAATCGGTCAATACTGCGAGCGTCAATTGCACGGTCCAGGTAATCGTTTACTTCCTCCTGGGGTTTTTTGTATTCCTTGTTTCTTCTTAGTTTGAAATAAAAACAAGCATTGACATTGAAATAATAATCAATTTTCCATATCTCCAAAAATAAATAAATAAAACACACCTTGTAAAAAACTAATACCCCATAAAATATTAAAGATTATACGTGCGATTTTATAATTCAAAGCTATCCATCTGACGACGATAAGTAAACACAGCCAAACATAGTATTTAAAAATTAAAAATAATAAAGAAAATTTTAAACATACTTACTTGTTTATCTATAAATAAATAAATAACAAGCTAACACTTAGTTTTAGCATTGATTATATTATATTTTTTGCAATATTTTTTATCGCTGGGCGGATTCGTTTTGATTATTCGGTTAAAACAATATAAAATTCAGTCCACTTATTTGTAATGAGTTATTTACTTATTCGATTGTAACGCACAAGTTCTATAGGCTCCATTCGTTGATAAGCCTAATTCACAAATGAAAATTGCCACTCACTTGCTGAATTTCCTCATGTTTCTACAGTCTAAGCTCAAGAAAAGTATAAAGCATTGGTCTGACTAACTAACTAAATCTTGGGTTTTCATCTCGGAAACTTCTAAACATCACACATCTTCATTACGTCATGCTAAAGCGCCCTCTAGCAACCCAAACATTTAAATTCAAATATCAAGAACATAGCCTACAGCAATAAATCTTTTTTAGTTCATCGAACAAGACTGAAAGAACATTCCAGAACTCCCCCTCATGTAGTGAATACATGACTAAACATAATCAATCCTTTGATTTTTCAGATGTTGAATTCATTGACAAAGAAAACTATAAAACCGAAGAAAAAACTAAGAAAAAAGCTCTCTTTATGAAAAACAACAACAATCTTAACATTAATAAACATATAGGTGTACATCTATATTTATTCTCATTTTTATTTTCCTTACTTAACTATTGTTCAATTCTATTACATTATTGTTTAATGACGTAATATCATTCTGATAATATAAAAAGTGACAATTTGGGTTGTTGGGCGATTCTAAAAGCTGGCCGTTTTTTATTTTTTTGCTGGCAGGAAAGAAAATATTACGATGAAATCCATCTCACTCTGTATAAAAAGCTCGATTTAATCTTTGTCAGACGGTATTTTTATGACTGTATATCTTTATGAAAGGGTGTTTTGAAATTACAGTTTTGATTGTTTACATTGGAGGGACGTTATTATGTGATGTATCACGTTTCTCAAAATGAATCTATGCTAAAGAGTGCTTATTGTGCATCATGTATTGTGTGACTTTTAATTGTATCTTCATTAATGAGCATACTCATAATGTGATTTGACTGGAACCAGTGTTAAAGGGCTATTATGAATTGAATTGTATCTTTTTGAAAAGTTGTTTCACCTGTGTTGCGTCAAAGTGTTTAACAGGGACAAGAAAAGTTGCATTAGTTCTTGACCAGTGGTGTAAATATAAATGGTTTTAAAGCTAGCATTAACGTTAGTTTGAGGGAAAGCCTGAAACGGGGAAATAATGAAAAGTGTGGTATGCAACCAAAATCATTCATTTTCTAACTTCATATTTTAGTGTACAATTTTCAAAAATTGGACAGTCGTTCCAACGTATGTACAGTTTTTGCATAAATGTGGTAAAGAAAGTCATTAAGTTGCTTTTATCAATATATTATTATATACAAGTATTACACAGCTACACCTTAACTAATTTTTGTATTTTGACCATCAAATGTCATACATCTACCATTCGCACCCTGTAATAGCTATAGATATCACGAGATATAAATTATTATATAAGGCAGCTATAATATACCTATGGATCAATATATTATTATTTACAAGTATTGCACAACTACCTCGGGATGAATATATTATTATTTACAAGTATTACACAGCTACCTCTGGATCAATATATTATTATTTACAAGTATTACACAGCTACCTCGTGATCAATATATTATTACTTACAAATATTACACAGGCACCTCGGGATCAATAAATTATTATTTACAGGTATTACACAGCTACTTTGGGATCAATATAATATTATTTACAAGTATTACACAGCTACCTCGGGCTGTGTAATACTTGTAAATAATAATATATTCATCCCGAGGTAGTTGTGCAATACTTGTAAATAATAATATATTGATCCATAGGTATCTGTGTAATACTTGTAAATAATAATATATTGATCCCGAAGTTGTATGTGGTTGTTCTTAGTTACATTTACTCTGATTCTGCCAGAAATCAGCTATCAGAGGTCGCAAACAAATTACAGGGGTTGTAAATGTGACCGTGGCGTTCCCTGAATGATTCCCTAGTGGGCTTTGTCGCTATTATACAAATATGGACATAACAAGACTGAATAAATGTTCTGACTTCTGATGACGATTTAAGTAAGTTCAGTTTTGGAACTGATAGTTCCATTAAATTAATCAAATTATTACCAGCTGTGAAAAATACAAACGCAAATTAATTTGATGCAAATTTAGAAAGAAAAAAAAAGATGTACTTTATATTATGCCTGTACGATTACTTAAAACTACAAAATTGTGTTATTGTGTTAAACAAATGGTTAATCGCACCTTATGAAGCAGCACGTCGTTACAGATCCGTGTTTGGTATAATGAGTTACATGTTCCGTATTTATATATTTGGTTTACAGCAAATTTACGACCACTAGACAGGATAATGCCACCAAGGAAAGTTATGACTTGAGGCTTTCTAAAAAAGCCTTTTCAAAGAGAAATATTTATATAGCGAGTTTATTAAACAATTTAGAGCCAAAGGTTGCAAGACATCAAATTCCAATGTTTTCCATGGAGCATATAAACTCGCATAATAAATATTTCAAAACAGCAATTGAATTCAAACATATATCTACACCAAATCTACAACTCCCTCATTTGCAAAGTGAAAGCTACAAGTAAAATAAAAAGGAACCCTCCGACCCCTAAGGATACTGCAGGGAAGCTGGTCATATCTTTTAAAACGATAATAAAGAAGGGTTTGAAGCTGATGAATACTCATAAGTCCAAACTTTACAAGCTTCTAACCACATCTTGAAATAAATCAGTAGTCGTTTGCATGAAATATAATATGGCCAAATAATTTGGTTTACAGCAATCCATTCCATAATGTGCTTGTTAAGTTTCCTGAAGCAGATCTAGTGAGCTATACAAATGGTTTCCCTTGGAAGCCAATGCTCATGCACAATAGAGAGTATATATAGATAGATTGTCAATTGTGTGTAATATGTTAATTGAAACTGAGCTCATACTAATTACATTGAAAAAAAATAATTGTAAAACAAAGGAATAATTATTTTTTAACTGTCGCTAAATGTTTTTTTTTTGCTCATTTTTTATAGTATCCAAATGGGTTGGATATCATATTTCACACTGTACTTTCAGCGAGCATTATTTTATGTTTAATTATAACAGTTATGAGTCGCTTGATACGGTAATATAATATACTTTGATGTCCATGTTCGTATTAGCATTCAGTGAAAAGTGTACTTTACGTTCACTGGATCTAAAACTTTGATGTTGTATACAGAGTATCCGAAAATTATGTTAATAAAATTGTTTACTTGTGTTTCAGAGACGGAACCCTTGAGCATCTACTACAATGAGTACTTGAATTCATTCATAACCAACCATTGCAAAATTCGTGAGATATCATAGCAGTGTGACATGCTAACATAATTTCTGCAGACCCCGTCTGTATACTAAGTTCTATGACATTGTTCTGGCGACAATATTATGTTGTTTACCAAATTCAAATTATTATTCTGATTTAATTCTTTGTTCGGCAGAGGTTTGTTTCAGAATTAATGGATTATTTGGATTTTTACATTTATATGAATATGTTTGTACATTTTTCATTATCTAGTAATATAATTTACCTTTGCCTTTAATATACAAGCATATAAAATAATATCTTGAAAAAAAAACAGTTTTTTACGTTTTCGTTCAGAAAGATACAGTTATTAATGTTTGAAAAACTTACCTATTTTCCAACCCCATATTATTATCCGTGTGACCCATCATTCTCATCTCCTTGGAAACAGTGTTCAGGGTAACAATGCTCTGACGAGATCGTACTTGGTTCACTCTGGTCTTATCGTCAGGAACGATAAGAAAAGTTTCTATATTGTGATCTCTAAGATAGGCGTGTCTCTCACCACCATTGCCTGATTCCAACTGGTAGTCACCGTTTAAACATTTCAGCGTTTCCTTGGTGATGTGGATATATCTAATATAAGGATAAATTGTAGAGAAAAATCGTTAGAGCAACCAATATCCTAACACGGGGTGATATGAGTTGAGCAAATTTACAGGGAGAGTTGTATGCAATTGGTTTGGACTTGGAATTTTAAACCTGAACGCCACCTTACATGCACTTGGGATAAACGACCAGACCAGAGACTCCCAGGATTCAGTTATGGGCGTCTCTAATGTTTAACTACTTACAAGAGGGAGAATATCCAGTAAAATCACTCGCCACCAAAAAGGATTTGTCCAGCTCTTTGAACTGTACAACGGGATTAATTGTCTCTTTTTATCTTGCTTCCACAACTTGAAATGCAAATAATGTTCAACGACATTACGTCTAGAACCTTGGAACCTTCAATCCATAGATTAACACACTAACCATAGTGCCACGATAGGCTGTAAGCGATTTGAGTTTTAGTCGTAGCGATCGATATTAAGTTATAAGAAAACCTAAAGGACTATTGCATCGTCCCGATTATATTGGACCACAATGATTATCCAATTCAGTTTGATTTTTATTTTAGGTTTCAGTTTTCTTGTGCAACGAATGATATCATTATATTGTGAAGTTCTAGTCAGTTTGTTCTATAGAATTAGTTCTAACTTAACTTCGTTACTAACTTATACAGACACGTATTATGATTTAACAACGAGGATACTTACTCTCCAGATGGGAAGCAATAAAAACTTACTTGACGACCTGGTATGACCAGAAAGTTCAAGCATCTTCTAGTGCTACATGTTCGAGTTTTGACTTATAACCAATATCACAACTTACATGTACGGTATTTAAGTTTCTTTTAGTCACCACAGTGTATTGTTATTTACCTGTTAAAGAATCTTTTGTATTAAAGAGGCTAATTTCTCTTTTGATGTTAAATTGTGAATGTGCTGTTTAAAATAAAATAGTTTTGACTTATCATTGAAATTATTAATTTTGCCAAGAAAGAAATGAAAAACCATTCTATCATTAGATTTACCATTTGATACTTGGAGAATTCCCCCCCCCCCCCACAAAATATTCCTGGATAAAGACAAATGGAACAACAAAATTAGGACTCTTGTAGAAACTGTCTGTGACTTACACGTATGATGTTTAGGTTGTGATTTACTTACCATAAACTTATATTTGTATAGGTATTTTAATAACATCAGTGCTATTAAACTTAATGGCAGATAGATGAGATATGCAAGTACATGATGTATTGCCCTCCTTAAATTCTAGATATGTTTTTTCAAATCGTCATTGTATTTCAGGTTTAGGGTTTGTTCTTGAGGAACGTCCATCGAGAGGACTAAGTTTCTAACCAAGTGGTTTGAATGCCCGTATTTCGAATCCTGGTAATTCCGCAAAAAGCTTTTTGGTTGTGACACATACAAAATGTCTGACATAACACCTGACGACGGCCGAATAATTCACTGGTCGAAACGTTGTGATAATAATAACACAGATAATAAAGACGAGAATAACAGTCCGAATAAGTATACCATTAGTAATACCAACACCTTGTCTCAATCCTTCCACAAAATTATATCTCTGAATACATCCATTAAGAAAAAAAAAGTTCAATAGTTTTCTTTCTATAAATGTACACAACATTTCATGTGACGAATAACTTAAGCCTATAATTATAAAGTTAGTGGTTAGCGTTTCGGGATGCGTAATAGAACGTCCAAGGTTTAATCCAGTCATATGACACTTAACATGCTCCATTTTTAGCTGTGGGTACATTATGGAAATGGTAATCAATCTTGCTATTCGGTTAGGAGAAACCGTGTAAGCGGCAGGTGCTGCTGATCGATTGCCATTCATCTGGTCAGCAGTTCTAAATTTGAGATGGGTATGCCTGAAATCTGTAGGGGTCCTCTGACCTGGCCGTGTAGCCAATGTTTGACATTAGGTTCCATTCACGTTTTACGATTTTACAAGTGTAATGTTGGTAGAGTATTACATTTCTGCTAAAACAACTACACTTATTGTTATACTTTGAAAACTAACTTTGAAATATTTTTATCTTTCATTAAATAATCCATAGTGATTAATATGTTATTATCCTGGATCCATGGGCATTAAATAGATAAAAAAACACAGTCAAAATCAGCATTTTCTGTCGTGACTAGCCAAACAAGACAAAATCCGAAATACTTTACTAATTGTATTATTCAAATGTATAAGAATTACCAAAGAGACCTTTCAGACTTTATTATACATGTTACACTTACCCAGGAACTCCTCCAGCTTCCATATAATTAGCCAAACTAACGTCGTTGGACCAAACATCAAACTGCCATTTTCGGAGTCCCAGAACTCCACAATGGACACGTCCTGTGTGGATTCCCACTCGCATGTTGACATCTACTCCAGTGACTTCTCGTACCAACCTGCGTACCAGCCACAAAGAAATATCAAAGCGTATATAAGATAGTATTAAAGTTCAAAGACCTTCAAAACTCCTCTCCAAAGACGAAGATACGTACGGCTGCACTTTTGTACATATCTGTTGTATACACAGTGGTTACAAAGTTCGCATGCTTTGTATTAATCTGTAACTATATGTTACAATATGTACATGTTTATGTCTTTGTATATTGGTGCAAATCTCTCTCATTAAGCAGCAAGTACAAAGGCTTCTCGATAGTCTGAGCCAATATAAAAAGCACGTGCTTTATGAGTCGACTCCGGTTTAATTATTATTGGCTAATAAAATGATTTTCGATGTTTATCGTGCTAAACGGCATAAGAGTCCAATAGTCAAGGAATACAAAATTTACACAATTCACCCTATTGCATTATGTAAGTATATAAAATAATGATAATAATAACAACTTTAGTAATTGCTCGTAAGATTATTTTTGGAGATTTATAGATAAAATATTATTAAGAGTCCAGCAGGATAAAAGAATACACGTGAGTTTTGTGGGCACCTGTGAAACACAGAATTGTTTCACAACAGAAATAAACCACTCCTCGAAAACCTGAAATAAACAGGTGCATCTGTGAAATATATAATAACCTGAAATAAACAGGCGTATCTATAAAATATATAATAACTGAAATAAACAGGTGCATCTGTAAAATATATAATAACCTGAAATAAACAGACGTATCTATAAAATATATAATAACCTGAAATAAACAGGCGTATCTATAAAATATATAATAACCTGAAATAAACAGGTGTATCTTAAAATATATAATAACCTGAAATAAACAGGT